AAAGCCGAATCCTTGGTGCCTGAATAGAATGTTGGGCGAGTTGGGGAGTCCGAGCCCCCTGGGATCTGCACGGAGTGGTCAGTGGAATGCGGTTCTCGAAGGCAAGGGAACCACAGGATTCTCAGCCCACGGCAAATATTCCCGGATTTTGGCACAGTGGCGTCCACCTGGACTAATTTGCAAATATTTCTGAAATCGGCCCTTTGCCCCAGAGGGTAGCCCTTGCTTATCAGGCCCTGGGAAAGGCTGAAGGTGGAGGTGGGGGCCCGGGTTGGGGAGGGGAGCCAATCAGCTCTTTCTATGAGGGGAAGTGACCTGGGGAAGAGGCGGCGAGGAGGAAGGGTGGGGGCCAGGCCTTTCCTGGTAGCTTGCTCTCCACTGGCTCTTCTCACCCCGGGTCACCCTTTGCCGAACTTCTGGGTGGGGTCTCATGCTTTGGGCACAACCCACGGTTCCCTTTCTAACCCTTCCACGGCCCTAGACCACCCACCGCTGCTTGGCTTCTGTTTGAAACTGTCAGCCTGGCCCCTAGCACCTGCTCATCTCACACACGAGGGGCGACCTGACTGGCAGAGGTGCCACACCGCGTGGGGCGAGGTCCTCATCACCCAACAGGCAGTGCCGTTACAAAGGGCGCAGGATTTGGACCATCCTGCTGAAAAGGCCATTTTGAAAGAACTAGGCAAGTTTGAATATTGGCCAAGTATTACATAAGATGAAAGCGTACTGACACAGAAAGGTGGAGAATGTTGACTGAAAAAAAGTTACTCATAGCGTGTATGGTATGGGCTCATTTTAGAAAAAAAAAATTATGCATGTGTATGCTTAGAAAAAGATCTGGACGAATATATAATAATGTATTAACAGTGATGTTTACTGAGTGATAGGAATTTTTTTCCCTTTTTGTTGATGTTTTCTTGTGTGTATTTTAACATTTTCATTATTATTTTATTTGATCCAAATTCTACAATTCTCATATACTGCTTCTGCTGCCTTAAAAGATCTTTCTTTTTTGAGTTGGAGTCTCACTCTGTCACCCAGGCTGGAGTGCAGTGGCACATTCCTGGCCACCGCAGCCTCGACCTGCTGGGCTCATGTGATCCTTCCACCTCAGCCTTCCAAGTTTCTGGAACTACAGGCACCTGCAACCATGCCCAGCTAATTTTTGTTGTAGAGATGAGGTCTTGCCAAGTTGTCTAGGCTGGTCTCAAACCCATGGGCTCAGGCAATCCTCTCACCTCGGCCTCCCAAAAGCCTGGGATTACAGGCATGAGCCACTGCCTCCGGACTAAAAGGTTATTTTTAACTTATTGGTAAGAAACTGTTACCCCTCAAGGTGACAATCCAGGGCTGCCTGCACCAGGCCCCAAGTGGTGGCCACTAAAGGGAGGGGTCTGTCTCTCCTTGGCTTTCTGCTGTGGCTTAGAACCCAAACCTGAATCTTAGTTCTGCACAGGAGCCAGAAAATGCCGGTAGTTGCACAGCAAGACAGTCATTTCCGAGATGATCATTAATAAACAATCCTAGGTGGTTTCCTTCATCAAGCCAGTCCATGCGGGGGCCCTACCATTCGTTGAAAACCCATCTTATTTTAATAGGGAGTTGAGAAAAAACAGAACTTGAAGGACCAAGTTGTCCAATGTGCTAGTATTTCCTGCTTCTCAGCTGGGCACTGGGGCTGTCCCTAGATCTAGGATGGTTGCATGAGGGGGTGGAGCCTTAGGATTTGGGAACAGGGAGCCGAGCTAAAACTCAGTTTAGCCTGAGTGGGGCAAGTACCTCGCGAATCTCCAGTGTCTTTGGGTTTTGTTTCTTAATTTTCCCAAAGGGCAGAATAATCCCTGCTGCTCCCTCTGTATGTTTTAACTCCTCAGCAGAGATGTGCCGTGGACGACGGGTGGCTCAGCTCTTCCTGGGTGTTTGGGCGTGGGGTGGGGGGAGGTAGAAAGGCTGCTTTCTCGCTTACTGGCGCTTATACTCTGGGTGCAGCCACACATGGGCACCCACACTGCTCCCCCACTGTGATCCAGGTCTGAATTCCCGCCCCCACTGTGTTCCAGCCTGGCCCCCACTCCTCTCTGGGTTAAGTCTACACCTATGCCGAGGAGAGAGAGGACACCTGTATTTTTCTCAGCTGGACAAGGGCACTTCTTTGTTCCCTTAAAACAGCTACAAAATCAAAATTCAGTGATGATTTTGTGCAAAGATGAGGGTTGATAGGAGAACTTCAGAGGAGTGGGTGGGGGGCTGGAAGAATAAGCCCTCCTCGCACTCTGTTTCTGACGCCAGGACGCTGAAGAGGACTCATGTGTGCCTCACGCTCCCTTTCTTTGCACTCAGTGTAAACTCTTCATGTTAGAAAGAAACAAGTCTAGAAAGAATCTTACTTGCAAAAAAAAAAAAAAAGTTTATTATGCAACAGCTGCAAGGTGACGGCCCTTCCCTGCCCAGGACTCTTCTCAGCAGCCCAGCTGAGAGGTTGACTCCCGACTCCAGCGTTTCCTGCTTGGGGGACCTTCGGCCCTCGGCTCTGGGCCCCTCTTATGGTCCACATTGCCCCACCATTTTGGTCTTCCTGGCTGGAAGGAGCGAAGGAGCTGGGGCTGGAATGTCTGACCTTGTTCTCCCTGGGATCCGGGGAACGGCAGCCTGGGGCCAGAGTTGCTTCAGCTGCCGATTTGGATGGGTCTGCAGGGCATCTGCTAGCGTTTGTGCTTTGGACAATTCTGCTCTAAAATAAATTGTGGTATTTAGATATAATGAAGGTCAGGACAGGAACGCTCTTTTGGGTCCAGATTTTCTAAGTAGACTGTTTTGATCCAGAGTCAAGATAAATCACCTTCCCCTTAGGCTGTGGGAACGGTGGATGTTTTATGGTTTGCTGCCCTCTTGTGGCACAGAAGTGATTAAAAAGTTGTCTTTCCTTTCAGAGAATGTCCTGCTCCTTTATTTGTTTAACAGTAAGTATGAGCAGGCCAGGGGACAAGGCGTGGGGCAAATGTGAGAACCACACGTGGTCTCCGCTTGTAGAATTTTCAGGCTAGTGGAGACGGCTTTTCACAGAACCCGAGTCTGAGGGCAAAAATACACACTTTGCTCTGCACAGAGAGGCTGACAACCCTGTGTTACAGTACCCGGGCTACCCAGCCAAAGAGGTCAAGTGGCCACAAGCCGAACCTACAGTAGTCCTTAATGACTAGTCAATTCCCTGGTGGATGGGAGGACTGATGAGACAAGCCCGAAATCAGAACTTACAACCAGACTCCCTGAACCCCTTCCCTTTCTATGGTCCGCTTATGATTCTTAACTTCTCCAAAGGTCTCTTCCCTTTTCAGCTCCTAACATGAGTCTGCTTTGCCCTGTTATGGGCTAAATTCTGTCATCTCCCAAATGTACATGCTGAAGCCCTAACTCCTAGTGCCTTAGAATGTAACTTTATTTGGAGACAGGGCCTTTACAGAGGTGATTAAGGTTAAGCGAGGTCATTAGGGCGAATGCTAATCCAATCTGGCTAGTGTCCTTATAAGAAGAGGAGATTAGAACATACAGAGACAGACACCAGGATGTGCACGCACTGAGGAAAGACCATGTGAGGACACAGTGAGAAGACAGCCATCTACAAGCCAAGGAGAGAGCCTCAAGAGAAACCAGCATGGGAGATGCCCTGATGTTGGCCCTTTAGTCCCTGCAACTGAGAAAGTACACCCCTGTTGGTTAAGCCACTCAGTCTGTGGAATCCTGTTGCAGCAGCCTTCAGCTAATAAAACACCTAAAATACTTATTTCTAAAGAGGTGGTTGCTGCATATTGAGGTTTTCAAAAACATAAACACATGACTCCCCCCGCCCCCCAGGCCTGGCCACAGTTTCTATATTTGTCTACAGCAGTTTTTAAAAAACTTTCATTTAGCTGGGCTCAGTGGCTCAGCCTGTAATCCCACGCCTTTTGGGAGGCTGAGGTGAGTGGATTGCCCGAGCCCGCGGGTTCGAGACCCACCTGGGCAGCGAGACCTCATCTCTACAATAAATAAAAAATCAGCCGAGCGTAGTAGCGCAAGCCTGTAATTCTGGCTACTTGGAAGGCTGAGGCAGAAGGATTGTCGGAGCCCGGAGCCCAGCAGGTCGAGGCTGCGGTGGCCGGGAGTGGCCACTGCACTCCAGTCTGGGCGACAGAGTGAGACTCCAACTCAAAAACAAAACAAAACAAAACAAAAACAACTTTCATTTAATCTTCACAGTAATCTATTTTATAGATGAAAAAAAAATTGTGTTGTGTGTGTGTGTTGGGAGTCTCACTCTGTTGCCTAGGCTGGAGTGCAGTGGCATGATCATGGCTCACTGCAGCCTCAACCTCCTGAGATCATGAGATCCTTCTGCCTCAGCCTCCTGAGTAGATGGGACTACAGGCGCACCCCACCACTCCTGGCTAATTTTTTGATATTTTTGTAAAGACAAGGTCAAGCCCAGGCTAGTCCTGAACTCGTGGTCTCAAGCAATCTTCCTGCCTCAGCCTCCCAAAGTACTAGGATTACAGGCATGAGCCACTGCACCTGGCTTATGGATGAAAAATTCTAGAAAGCTAATTCGCCTAGGATCACCTGGACGGTGGGAAAAAGCAGGATTTAAACTCGGTTCTGCCTCCAAGTGTCGCCTCTTTCTCTTTGGGTCCCAGTAGCTGATGTGGGCCGAGGGAGGGTCTGGAGATAGGAGTCAGAACTGCATGCCTGTCTGGAGTGAATATTGGAAAACTACATGAAGACTGATCCATGGACCTTGTCGGCACTGGCAAATGGTAGTTTGGTTTCTTTCTTTATCCACTCAGAAAAAGTTCAATTCTTCAGAAAAACTCGTGCACATTTGCCACGAGGCAGGATGCATTATCCCCACGGACCCCTTGTCTCAGGGTCTCTAGATCTACTATACCTGTCGGAACCGAGAGACCAAGGGGACAGCTTGTGTACATTCTGGTCTCTGTCCACAGTGACTCCTAACCACACTGTTATTCTTTCAAAATACATTTTATTCATGGGATGTGACATTTAAAGTTAAGCAACTGCTTTCCAGAGGAAGGTAAGCCCTGATGGACTGAAAAGACGGGACAGATCTATCACAGTACAAGTCACGTTCCCAGTGTACTGAGAGTTTAATAGGAATACGTTCCACCAAGGAAACGACTCTCTTCCCCATGCTGTCCACAGTGCACAGCCCCCAGCTCAGGGGTGGGGGAGGGTGGCGGCCCAAAGCACTGGACAGTGTGAGGCCTCACGGAGGCCTGGTGTCATCTCTACATCAGGCCCTCTCTGTTGCTGGAAAGGTTGTAAGCCCTGTTACTCATGACTTGAGGACTGAAGGGTCTGGGTGGGTGGAGTTGGCTTGTGGGAGAGCAGCAGGTGAGGGGGTCATCTGTGAACCCAAGAAAACCCTCAGACTTCAAGGAACTCTCACAGTGTCTCCATTATGACCCTTTGTCTCCATGTTCGGGAGACTCTAGAAACACGTCTACATTAGTAAGTCAGAGAAGATCTGAACTTTCTTAGAAGAATCAGGTTACTCTCTCACAGACGAAGACCGTTTCCCTTAAAGGATTTTCACTCTTTAACCCGATGTTCTTGTGACTCACAACGAACTCTGAGGTTCACCGGGACCTTGCCCGTCAGCCCTTCTGCTGTTCCTGCCTCCCTTCTGAATTCCCCCCACCCTTCCTCTGGACCGACACGTCCCTCCCAATCTTTCAGTCCCGCGTGCTGCGGGTCTCCTGATTCTGTGGTGTTAGGATCATGCCACTTTTTCCTAACCTTGTATGATGGGGGCTGTGCATGAGAAGGGCGCCCTAGAGTTTGCCATCCTCATTAGTCTTATTCTGATCTTAACACGGGCATTTCTCTCACCACTTTGAAACCCGACCCTCAACCAAACCTTCAGATACTCACTGAGTAAGGCAACAAAATGAGTGACAGACAGCACAGTTTTTCCGTTTCTAGATCTAATTGATTAGGTTACATCTCTATACCAGGAACCTGTACTTTACCTCCAAGCTAGCATCTAGAACACAGTCTTCCAGGCGCTTAGGGCAGGTCCGTGACAGTGGTATCGTCAAGATCAATTCCAGAGTGCAGCTTGCCGTCCTTGGCAGCCGCCCAGGGCATAGAGGCAGAGGTCCACCTTGCCACCCAGTCTCCTGTTTTGTTAATCAAGATGAGGCCACCTAAACCTTTGAGCCTTGACTTCATATAACCCAACGACAGGTCAGCAGCCTCTTCTAATGTCTTTCCTGAAAACAGAAAAGTTGAGAAACAACACACGTTACTGAAAGGAGCCTGATGGGAAAATCACTTGCAGTATGAAATGCCAAAGTTGGGGAGACAGGATTGGCAGTAGTGGGAAACTGCCAGTGGAATGGGGCAGGGAGGAAGAAGCTCATCAACAAAGGTACCCGCAAATGAACATTTGTATACCTAACCCTGAATTGTATCCTACATCTTTAAAATGAAAAAAGAAAAAAGAGGAATTGCCAAAGTGAGTTAACAAAGATGTTTGGTAAATGATTCCCTTGAATGCTTAAAAGGAAGGTCCTCACCTTCTTGCCCTGAGACAGAGGTAGCCTAGGATCAGCCCAAGCAGAGTGGCCTTCCCTTCCACACTCAGGGTCTCCTGTCTCCCTTCAGAGATGCAAAAGATCAGAGTATCCTAACAGAAGGTGGGGAGGAGTCAAAATACAGCATTAACAATCTGCAGCAACCTCTGTGGCAAGCAAGAAAGGCTTCCCAACTAGCTTGAGCAACATATATAGATCTCATTTCTAAAAAAAAAAAAAAAATTAGCCAACTATAGTGGCACATACCTGTAGTCTCAGCTACTTGGGAGGCCGAAGCAGGAGAGTTGCTTGAGCCCAGGAGCTGAGGCTGTGAGCTGTGATCATGCCACTGTACTTCAGCCCGGGCAACAGAGTTAAGACTCTGATTAAAAAAAAAGGGGGGGGGGGGTCATATACTTCTCTATGTATTTATCAAATACCTTCTATGTACTAGTCTTCACCAATGATTTTACTTGTCCTATGGTCCATGTACCTTGTTCTATGTGGAAGAGAGTGAGTCTGGCCAGATTCACCCTCAGGATGCTTTCTCCGTGCCCTGTGGTTGAAATGGCTCCAATGTTATTGTCAGCATAACCTCCAGACCCTGTTCAAAAAAGGTGATTGGTTCTAACCGAGTAGTAACAGTCAAGAAATTCAAACACATACTGCAAGTCTAATGCCACATAAATGTTAACTTCCAACTTACTGAAGTGCAGACAAAAAAAGGTCAGAGTAGCCATGACCCATGAATGGAAAGGGAGACTACTGAGGGCTGTGTAAATAGCCCTCGAATTCGGGAGGACAAAGGGAGTCTAAGGGGTGGTAGGCGCCCTCCCTCCTGACTGTCCACGTGGGGTCCTGGCCAGCCGCAGGGCTCCTAGGGGAGGCCTCAGAAGGCCAGGCAGAGCACACCTGGTGCTCACAGCTGAAACAAGGACTTCTGACTTTTAGGTTATGCCTTTTTTCCTCTCAAGACATTACCATCATAACTTAACACGCTTGAACTTATTTTCTAGGATCCGAACTTAGTTTCTAGGAACATAGTTTCTAGGATCTGGCCCTGTGGCCTGGTGTGAACCCATCAGGATGTTAAGACGCACTACTGATAGGGCATAGTTTGGTGGGATTTTTGCTAAGGAGGAAAAAAGGAAGACTACTTCATAGCTCTGGGGTACTCATACCAGACCTGTACTCTTTAAAGAAGCTTCCAATGTCTCCTCTGAGTTCATGACAGAATAAAGGAAATAAAAAATGGTCAAGAGTGTGCATTATCACTAAAGAATAGCAACACATTCAAAAGGGAGGGTAGGGATTAGTTTTCCACTAAAAGTACAAGCTACTATTTGGGGTAGATGGAACAATTTAGCCGTTTCTCAAAACTTCAATCATGTTGGGAACAGTGGCTCATGCCTATAATCCCAGCACTGTGGGAGGCCAAAGCAGGCAGATTGCTTGAGCCCAGGAATTTGAGATCTGCTGGGGCAACACAGCTGAGAGAGACCTTGTCTCTCAAAAAAAAAAAAAAAAAAAAAAAAAAATTAGCTGGGCACTGTGGTGTGCACTTGTAGTCCCAGCTACTTGGAATGCTGAGGTGGAAGGTTGACCTGAACCTAGGACGTCAAGGCTGCCGTGAGCCATGATCATCGTGATTGTGACACTGCACTCCAGTTTGGGCGACAGAGTGAGACATTGACTTAAAAAAAACCAAAACGCAAAAAAATTTCAATCATCCGTAGAGGTTTGTGGGGATTCCCACATGAGAAGTGTGAAAGCCTACATGAAGTGAAACTTACACACACCCCCAGACCTGCCTCTCACCCACTCCTGGGAATGAGATAACATGCTTCCATGTTAATGTAAACATTTCAATTTGTGGTATTTCTGTAGAAGTATGTCACTTTGATGCCACTCAAACCTAATAACTGCAAACTTAAATTCTCAGCTTTCTCAGATGGGTAGTTTGAGTCCATGTCTGGGAAGATGTTTCATGAATTTAACCCTCTGTGTGTAAGTCTGCAAATCCCAAAACTGGGCTAAAGAGAAGATAGAGACACTATAGGGTCACTTGGGGGCAACTTTAGTATCCTTGCCTCCATTTCTCTCCTTGAGTCATGCCAAAAGGCTTGCAATTTAGGAAGAACAAATGCCGTTCATCCCACAGCAGAAGCTTATTAAAAAAAGATACAAACTTCCCTCAAAGCAATGCCCTAAACAACTCCTTCCAATCTCACTGCTCCCAGAAATTCTGAAATTGCCATAAGAAGAGAAAGGAAATGCAGAAAGGAAAGGGGAGAGGCAGAGAGTAGAGAACAGGGAGAACCTGGCGATAGAGAAGGAAAGGAGAAAGGACAGGAGCCAATGCTCGGTCCTACCTATACACGGTGTGTCCCCAACTCGACCGGCCATCTTATTAACGATACCCCCCGTAGAGGTTGCGTAAGCCACGTTTCCTTTGCAGTCCAAGGCAACAGCACCCACGGTTCCCAAGTTCCTGCCAAAAATAAACAGAGAAAAGTGACAGACTGAATTATGAGAAATTAAAAACACTTAACAATGTAGCTTAAAGCCACTTAAAGTCCCACGTTATATGCTAAGGCAAATGGAGCACTTTCTAGACGCATGGAAATGGTAGAGAGTGCCTGCTTGCTTCTGACGCTGCATGCTAGTTATAGGGAGATTGCCAGACATGCCTTTAGACCTCAGTTTTAGGAGTATATCCAAGCCCAACACCACTGTTTTCTGTGTGACCTTGCTTACATTTTATTCTCCATGTCTCCATCTACAAAAGAGGGGTACAAATAACAGAGTGCAGCTGGACTCGGTAGCTCAGCCTGTAATCCCGCACTCTGGGAGGCTGAGGTGAGTGGATTGCCTGAGCCCGTGGGTTCAACCCGCCTGGGCAACTTGGCGAGACTTCACCTCTACAATAAATAAATAAATAAATAAATAAATAAATAAAAACACCCCCCCCAAAACAAACCAAATAATAGGGTGCATGCATCTTAAACTTTCGTGTGCATCAGAATCTCTTAGATTCCTGGGCTCACCCCAGAGATTTTGAAACTGCCACCAAGAAGAGAAAGGCAAGGAGAAAGTGAGTTGGTAGGTAGAGGGAGAGATCTATGATCCCACATTTCTGACAACCTGCCTGTCTATGGACCTGACTATCAGTACTTGTTTCATGGGGTTTTTATGAAGATCAGATAAGTTAATTTCTCCCCAACATTTTATTATGAATTTCCAATTACAGTCATGTACTACATAATGACGTTTTGGCATAAATGATGGTGTTCCCATAAGCTTATTTTTACAGTATCCTTTCTATACTTAGATACAAAAATACTTATCACTGTGTTACAACTGCCTATGGTGTTCAGTACAGTAACTTGCTGTATGGGTTTATAATCTAGGAGCAATAGGCTATACCATACCACTTAGGTGTATACTAGGCCAGGGGTTAGGAACCAGGTTGCACAGCAGGAGGTGAGTGGTGGGTGAGGGCGCAAAGCTTCATCTCTATTTACATTCACTCCCCATTGCTTGCTTTACCGCCTGAGCTCCACCTCCTGTCAGATCAGTGGTAGCATTAGATTCTCATAGGAGAACAAACCCTATTGTGAACTGCGCATGTGAAGGATCTAGGCTGCACACTCCATGTGGGAATCTAATGCTTGAATGATGTGAGGTGGAGCTGAGGCGGTGATGCTAGCACTGGGAAATGGCTGCAAATACAGGTTAACATTAGCAGTGAGGTCTGACTGCACAGAGAGCGTAATACATCAATTGCTTGTAGGCTCATATCAAAACCCTATGAGTGAGTGGCAAGTGAGTTGATGGACTTCAATCGTGCGGCTGCATCTGGTGGCAGGCTTTAAGTCAGAATCTGACACTCATTTTAGTCTGCACATGGTTCGCTCATTATTTTATCATTTCTGTCTGTGCCTTTTAAAAAAAAATGGTACATTATATAATCATTTCATTATATATTACAATGTAATAGAAGAAGTAAAGAACACAATACATGCTATGTGCTTGAATCATCCCGATACCATCCCCGGTCTGTGGAAAAGTTGTCTTCCAGGAAACCAGTCCCTGATATCAAAAAGGTCTGAGACTGCTGTAGTAGGCCATGCCATCTAGGTTTGTGTAAGTGCACCCTACGATGTTCACACACGACAAAATCCCTCAACAATAAACTTCTCAGGACGCATCTCTGTCAAGTGGTAAATGACTGTAAAAAAGTTGAGGAGATTGTACACTAATGCCCAGGTATCCACCACCAAAAATTAATATATATTAATTTTTGAGTTGGGGTTTTGGTGTTGCCCAGGCCAGAGAGTAGCAGCATGATCACAGTTATTGCAGCCTCAACCTTCTGGGCTCAGGCAATCCTTTCCACTTCAGCATCCAGAGTAGCTGGGACTACCAGTGTACACGACACCTGGCTAATTTTTTCTTTTCTTTTTTTTTTGTAGAGATGAGGGTTCCCCTATGTTGCCCAGGCTGGTCTCGAACTCCGAGGCTCAAGCAGTCCTCTCACCTCAGCCTCCCAAAGTGCTGGGATTATAGGTATGAGCCACTGCGCCTGGCCTAGATTCTATAATGAACTATATTTGAGGGATTGTTTTAAGTGCTGGGGCAGAACAGTAAACCAAATGGACAAAGTCCCTTCTCCCATGGAGCTGGCATTTGGGGCAGAGGGTAAATATGTCAGGTGACAAACCAAAAATACCCCACAAAAAACAGTGAAGAAGAATCTAGCACCACAAGGGAAGATTGATGATGGGGGAGGTGCTAGTTTCTACGGTGCCTCTCTGAAGGAAGTGAGGTCAGGCCATGCCACACTCACTGCAGGAAAGAACGCTCCTGAGGCGGAAACACGCTTGCCTTGTCCCTGGAATCCCAAGGAGGCCACAGAGGCTGGAAAGAATAAAATAAGGGAGACTGTGGTAGGAGGATCAGAGGGACGGCCAGGGGCCAGGTCACGAGGGCTCTGATGACTGGGGTGACTGTACATTCAGGTTATCCAGAACAGCCCAAATTTGTGCCTGCTGTTACGGCTTTATTATTATGATTATCATTATTATTATTATTATTATTTGAGCTGTAGTCTCACTCTGTTGCCCATGCTGGAGTGCAGTGGCACACTCATGGCCACCCCAGCGTCGACCTGCTGGGCTCTGGTGGTTCCTCCATCTCAGCCTTCCAAGTAGCCGGAACTGCAGGTGCATGCTACCACACCTGGCTAATTTTTTATTTATTGTAGAGACGAGGTCTTGCCAAGTTGCTTGGGCTGGTCTCGAACCCGCAGACTCAGACAATCCATTCACCTCAGCCTCCCAAAGTGCTGGGATTACAGGTTGAGCCACTGAGTCCGGCCTATCATGGCTTAATTATTAATAGTGCCTCCTGTACTCTTGAAACAAAGTTTCAGTTTGAACACTAAATCACATGATCACACTATTTTTAGGCCATTGTAAAGGCTTGTACTCTGATATGGGAGGACACAATCTGAGTTAAATTTTAAGAATCACCATTCTTGCCATTACACCCACTCTCCAGAATGGCTAAAATTAAAAGACATAGCAAGCATTGGCAAGAATGTGCAGGAACAGAAGCCCTCACTCCATACGGCTGTTAGTGCAAACTCCTTTGGGAAAAAACCACTGGGCAATAGCTACTAAAGCTGAACAATGCACACTCCATGACTCAGCAGCTACACACCTGTCTATCTGTCCATCAGCTATTTGGACAGATGCTCAGCAAGAGACAAAATGTTCATGGCAGCAGTATTTGTAATAGTTATCTCCCTTATCTGCAGGGGTATGTTCCAAGACCTCTTGGGTGCCTGAAACCACGGCTAGCACTGTTTTTTCCTATGTTGTATGTACATACCTATGATGAAGTTTAATTGATAAGTGAGGCACACCAAGAAATTAACAATTACTAATAATCAAATAGTACAATTATAAAATATACTGTAATAAAAGTTACGTGAATGTGGTCTCGCTCTCAAAATATCAGACTGTGGCCAGGTGTGGTGGCTCACGCCTATAATCCCAACAATTTGGGAGGCCAAGGTGAGAGGACTGCCTGAGCCCATGGGTTTGAAACCAGCCAGGACAACTTGGCAAGACCTCATCTCTACAATGAATCAAAAAATTAGCCGGGCATGGTGGCATGTGTCTGTGGATCCAGTTACTTGGAAGGCTGAGGTGGAAGAATCACCTGAGCCCAGCAGATCGTGGCTGTGGTGGCCATGAGCATGCCACTGCATTCCAGCCTGGGCAACAGAGTGGGACTTCTACTAAAAAAAAAAAATCGGACCACAGTTGACTGTGGATAAATGAAACCATGGAAAGCGAAATTGCAGATAAGGGGGGACACTGTAGCCCCAAACTAAACACACAAATGTGCACCAAAGGTAGAGGAGATAAATATTAACACACTGGAATGCTATACTGCAATGAGAACTGAAGGGCCACCGCCAAGCCACAAGTAAAGCCACATCCCCTCCCTTTCCTGGAAACGGTGACACGGCAAACTAAAATGGCGACTGAAACGGTGCCTTCCTTTGTTCTCTCTCTGCACCCTTTCCCGTGCCCGTGGAAAACCCACCAACCTGGATGGAGCTCTGCCAGCCGACCAATAATCGACTGACAGGTCGCCCTAAGCCCCCATAAAGGCTGGCGTGCCCTTGCTTCAGCGCTACAGCCTGACCCTCAGGCCCTGTAGCCACCCTCACTCCTACTCATTAAATCTCTTGGCCTTAATGGGTGTTGAGTTTCACTGTGCGCCACTATCTTTCAAGAATGAACTACTGCAACACACCAATGAATCTCAGAAATATGTTGGGTGAAGGCAGGCCAAAAAGCACTCGTAAATACTATATGAGGCCATTCAAATAAAGTGAAAAACAGGTAAACTCATCTACGATGTAGAAGTCAGGAAAGTGGCTACCTTAGGGGGAAGGAAGTGAACAGAAGGGGGAACAGAGTGGGGGCTTCTGGCAACACCCAGCTTCTGGATCTGGGTGCTGCACATGGGGTTTCGACTGTGACAATTCATCAAGGTGCACATGTGTGATCCATGCACTTCTGTATGTATGCTATGTTTCTATACAGATTTTATCTTAAAACGATTATTCTGGCTGAGGTGTGGAGTTGACTGAGGGAGACAAGAGCAGAAACAGACTAGTTAGGAGGCTTGAGGAGATGGTTTGTGTCAGGTGGTTTCAGTGGAGGGGTGAGAAATAACTGATGGAGTCTGCAGGTGAACTGGATGTGATAGAGATGAATCACAAAGGATGTTGAGGCTTTGGGTCTCAGCAACTGAAAGGATGTAACAACCATTTGTTGACATGTACAAGACTATTAGGAATAGGCTTTTTGTTTTGTTGTTGGTGTGTGTGTAGGAGTGGGGGTGGGGAAATAAATTCAGTGTTGGACATAAGCTTGAGGTTTGGCAATCACATGGAGAGATTGAAGAGTA